CCAAACCCAAGTCTCAGACTTGGGTACCCAATACCCAAACCCAAGTCTCAGACTTGGGTACCCAATACCCAAACCCAAGTCTCAGACTTGGGTACCCAATCCCAAACCGAAGTCCAGACTTGGGTTTGGGTTTGTAACATACCTAGCTAGAACGTGTCAACTATAGCTAACAGTTTGGTGTATTGAAATTTGTTTCGATTCAGCGAATGATCAAGGAGTCAGGTTTTTCTGCTTTGCTTTTACTCCAGGTTGTTCACTCTTCGCGCGCACCGTTTTTCTTCAGTAAAAAGATTCTGTTTGAAGCCTGAAAATACCTTGTATCTCAAATCACATTAACTGAATATAGTATTGTAACGATCCTTTTTGCTACAACTGCTTTATCTGTGAATATGTAGCTTTATCGATCTTTATAACTCATCCATAGTATCCTACCTTGCAATAACGGCAATTGAGCATGTCATGGATGTTGAAGCTAAAAAAAAGGTCATCTTGTGCAACCTTAAAGCTTTAGGGACCTTATTAATCGAACAAGAGTTATAACTGCACATGCAGTCAGTTTCTTGTTCTTCTTATTTAACAGGTCTGCTATTCAATGCATTATACTTAACCTGCTTAATGTTCGCTCACTTTTCAAGACGTCGCCTGGATAGTCTAATGACTTCTAAACGAAAACCACTGAAAATGTTTTTTATAAGCCTCTAAATCGTAGCTAAATGTCTCCGGGCCAGCCTCGACTTATGACTGACAATAACCGATTGATTTTTGGAAATTGCATTGCACTGATCGACCATTATACGTTGTTTTAGAACTTTTCTTGCACGCTTCACTAAGGGAATGATCATATAGATAAATGCTTTAAGACAGACTGTTTCTTCCAATGCGTGCGCATAGGCATGCACCAATTCTAGTATTTTATCTGCAAAAATAACTGTATCTCTCAAATCTTTGTTACCAATTTTATTCACAGTGTAGGATCATAGCGCCCACTTTTCTCTGCAAAACAGGCCATTTAGAAATTTTGCGTCGGCATCAAACCAAATATTATTATCTACTTTTTAAAATATTAGTAACAACTTCTGATTATCCTTTGATGTGTCCTTACCTTTATATTGATGTTGACCACAATAATCATTATCAAGCCAAATATTTGCAACAAATTCTGGTATATCCTTTTCTTTCATGTGAAAATATTTATCTAATGCAATTAATACAAAACAATTTTCTTGTGTTGATTTCCATGCACCTTTCACTGTATGTGCTTGTAAACCTTTACATAATTTTGTACATAAACTTGACTTTGGATCAATACATAATAATGATTCTAATAATATAGCATCTGTTCGTTGATTTGAATGTAACATGACAGATTGACCATCATCACCATATGATGTAATAAAATTAGCTGTTTCACCTGTTTCACTTACTTTATCTTTGAGATGTTTGTATATTATTTCAACTGTTTGGTCTTTATTATTATTTTCACCACTGGATAATGCTACTAATAACCATCCTAATGCTTCTAAACTGAGTTTATCAAATCCACTCCGTTTAAAGAATTCTGAAGCTTCTTCAGCCACATTTCTAAAATGTTTTGCTCTAACATATAATGCATAACTCATTAAACTATATCGAGTTATTTCAGACCAATATTTACTAAATGGTAATTGATCAATTTCAGATTCGATATTTTCAACATATTTTAACACATTACTTAACATGTTTCCATTAACATCCAGCACCTTTAAAAGAATTAGATCCTGGGCAACTTTTTACAAATTAACGAATGCCATTAAAAAAATTTTATACCATTGTTTTAATTGGAAAGCGTAGTGAAGCCTTAAGCAGAGAGAAACTCCTCGAACTTGTAGTAGGACTCCAAAAACTCGATAGACACTTGTTTTGCACCATGTAGATTTATTCTCAGTATTTTGAAAACAGATTTTTTCATATTTTTGTGAATGATGGATTCTCACAATTTAAAATAAATAGAAATTGTATAGTTCTGTAAATCCCATTCGCGTGCTTTTATACAATAAAACTCTTTTACCTTTGCATTCATAACAACAGCTAAACAATGTGCAACATGCACACTTATGTATGGATCAGCATAAGAATTATTTCGATTTGTCCAATAACTAAATCCACCATTCGGATACTGACGATATTTTAGTGCATTCATATCTGATTCTAATTTAGTTTTCAATGCTGAAACTTCAGGTAAATCTTTCCAATGAAATGCTTGTAAAACATCCCATAATGTTTGTATACCTAATAATCTAGAACTAATTTGTTCTGTACATTCATATGGATATGTATATAATGAAACAATTGCATCTGTTAATGATGCTAATGCTGTTGAACTTGTTGATATTGATAATTCACCAAATTGTGGAATAACATCTTTTGGTGTCTTTATTGGTTGTAAAATCACTTCTGCACCACCTACATCGCCATATGTTGCAAATGCTTCAGATGTTGCTGGTGTAAATACAGGTAAACTTAGTTCGATTGCATCTCCAAATGATACCGATGTTTTATTATTGTCAGTACTAATTACAAACTGAAATCGGGCTATACCAGAATGGATTGTTGAAACTGGAAATGTAACAACAACTCGTTTACTTGCAGTTATTACAATTGAATAACCGATTCCTTGTTGACTTGTTTCAGATGTTAATAATTTAGCATTACTTGCTCTTAAACCAACATGTAGTGGTAATGATTGATCAGTTTGATTTTGTAAAATAACTGAAAAATGAGCTATATCACCATAATTAAGAAATCTTGGTGGTGATGGTTGAGCCATGATAGGTAATTGTACAGTAAATGCTGTTTCCCCTAAGCCATATTGTTTATCATTAGCTGCTAATGCCCATACACGATAGCGTGTTACATTATGAGGTAACTTAACTTCAAATGTAACATGTCCTGATGAATTGGTGATTGCTGATGGAATCCAACATGCTAATGGATTGAAGTTCGATCGAACAGCTATCGTTTGTGCTTCACCAGCACCTACGGCTCCATGTTTAGAACCAAGAGTTGATGACGCGCAAGTAAATCTCGCCGAATATTGCGTTGCAGCGTGTGGCAAGCCAAACTGCGCTTGTCTTCGTTGCATATCTTTCTCAAATTTTTCTATATCTTGCGTATTAAACAGTAAACAACGTTTTCTGCTATGGTATGGTGTAATATTTGTCGATCGATCAGGATAAAATATATCTAATGGACTCAATAGCGTATGACCAGTTAATGATAAAATTGCTTCGTCAACAATAATTAAACACACTTCTACGTTGTCCACGGCTGTATTATTCACATGTTGTGTAACATCAACACCCACATGAATAATAGATGATGGTGTAAACGTTTCATCTGTTTCTTTTGTATTAATCAAAACATTCAGTTTATAAATATCTCTTGATACTTTTAATGATACTGAACCAGCAGCGATTGCTGGGCAATGCTGTGAATCATTTACTTCTATTTCTCTTGGAATCGCACCGGTTAATTCAGCATGAACTGTAAATCCTGGTATCCAGTCTTTTGATATTCTAAATTCAACAGTTGTTGAATCTTTACCGGATTCTATTTGAAATTGTATTGGTTGTGACACTTGACCACCACAATCTAATATAACTAAACCACTAGCAGGACTAAATGGTGCTAGTATTAATAATTCACATATGTCATCTGGTTGATAATGTTTTGTTTCATTCGGAATAATTGTTAATGTACCGGTTGGGATAAAATCAACCTTTTGTTTTTCTATTTCGTTTTCACAGCCACCAGAAACATAATAGTTGTCATAGAAACTCATAGCTAATCGACATTTTTCATCTTTGACACTGTATGATATATTATAACTACCCCCTAAGAACAGATGTGAAACAGAAATTAGAAGATATTGTAAAAAGAAGCAATCTCCAAATGCAAATCTCTTTGGGTCTGGGCGAAATTTAGAGTAAAAGAATTTTATTTAGTTCCTTGGCAATTCATTTTTTAAAGAAAAGAAATAATTCTCTATTAGACGTATGAAAAGTAATGCGTTTTTTGTGCTGCGGCTTGCAACCATATTCCATAGCCAAGATGCATTATTACAATCATTTATATAACATTTATTAGACCTACATCCAAAATTATGCAGGTTATTATTCTGGACGGAGTGAGTGTATGAGTGTACGGAGAGTATACGAGTTTTTCTACTCTGCACTCTCTCCACCCACCTCAAAAATAAAATCGCTCACACTCCTTATTTCACTCAGAAGGGAGTAGTCTGGAGGAGATGGGCAGCAACACATATAGATCTCAACTCTGAGGCAGATGGGCGAAAGATGGGAGGATTGCAGAACGTGGAGAGAATGGGATGAGTGACCGCACATTTGAGCAGGCCCCAGTCTTTAAGAGACGTAATTTTTGATTTTTTAGCTTTAGTTATAAACGATTAGCATCACCAAGAAGAAGTATCATTTATGTCTTTAAGGCAGTTAATTTATGATTTAAAAAATATAGAACTATTATATACATTTTTATCTATAAAACGTAATAATCCTAATATTTACCGTCGGTTTCATTATAAAATGCAACGTCTGTTTTCCATCTAAAGTGTATACATTTGAGTTTTAGAGCTAAAAACGGACTTTCGTAACAGATCCTCCATATTCCTGGTGATTTTCAACGTTCGTTAGATCTAGCACTCACGCTGCGCATATAATGGGTTTCGTGACGTACCTGTGCAATAAGGGTAAAGGTCAGTTTGAAGGGCCAGCTTACTACTCTAGTCAATCTGCAGTAAACATCGGCTGTGGAGTAACGTTTTGTGCAAAAGTTCACCCTTGAAACCTTTCAAACAGAAAAAATGTTCAACATCTTAATACAAAGGACGGGGAACGATAGGAGTCAAAATCGGCCCACGCTCAAATCAGTCTGACGTTAACTCATCTAATGCAGTTTTTGCCCATGATTAACGGTGACATATTTTTAAATCTTAAAAAGCCTTCTTAGCGCCTTTGGAAACCTTTTAGCAAAAAAAAGTCTTCTCGCCTTAAACGACGTTTTCTCAAAGTATTATTCAAACTGTTTCACCCGAATGCTAACGGATATTTCGGATCTTAGACTACCCAGTTACATTTTCTTAGGGCTAGCTCATATTTCATTTTGTAGCTTGTAAAGTTGTGTATAATAGTTGATATTTTCGCTGGGTGAAACAGGTTGAATAATACTTTGAGAAAACGTCGTTTAAGGCGAGAAGACGTTTTTTGCTAAAAGGTTTCCAGGGGCGCTAGAAGGCTTTTTATGATTTAAAAATATGTCACCGTTAATCATGAACAAAAACTGCATTAGATGAGTTAACGTCAGACTGACTTGAGCGTGGGCCGATTTCGACTCTTATCGCCCCCCGTCCCGTCCTTTTGAAAACGAAAAAAGGATGCGCTTATAGGTATATTCCTCTGCTCATGTTAGTTTGATTGAATCTGCTTGAAAACATTTTAGTATATAAAATCAGAGCCTGGTGAGCTTCGCTTGCATTTTATCATCACAAACTATATTTTTTACCTAATTTTGGTGTAAATTCAATATTGACTGCCCCTTTATTTGAACTAACAATGGCTAATGTTTGCTCATCTTTTACTTGTTCAGATACTACTAAACCATTCTCATCTTCTTTTTTTTCATTACCAATTCCAATTACTTTACATTCAACCAAAATATTACCAATTAAATTTCCGTCAATATCTGTTACAATGACTTTTGTTTGTACAGGTTTATTTTTCTTGCCATAATTTGTTATTAATTTAAATCCCACATAATATGTACATGGATGTATAATAAACTGTGTTTGTGTTTCTTGTGTTTGATAATTTAAATCAGTAATGGCTGCTATTGCACGAACAAATATTGTTCTGGGTTCTTGTTCTATACCATGATAATTAATTTTAATTTCATGTAAACCTTTATTGTTTATTTTACCCTAAAAGTAAGAGCGAAAGAAAAACGAGTTGAACTGCTGTTTACATTACCTAGTTTAGAGCACTAAACTAAGTTTTCAAGAGTTGATCGAGCTACTCCAAGTTTCTGAGAATCCATAGTATTTATGATTATCTACAGATTGTCAGATCAAAAACTGAGCAAGGAAATTTTTAATCCTGAAGATGTTTAATAACATTTCGAAAAAATTCAGTTGATAAAAAGCTAGGTGTTTGAATTCTTCAACTTTTCATTTTTTTTTTGTCGTATTGTATACCCTTAAACTGTGTACAAGTCGATGAAAACAGTAACCAATTGTTGGTTAGCCATTCAAGAAGCGCCAACGTGACTGTTTTTAGAACATAAAACTGAAAAAACTTCTATGCTCTTAAACAGTGCCTTGTGCACTTCCAGAGACCGTTTCAAGAACCTTTTGTCACAGTTTACTGTTCCTTAGTAGTACAATTAGTCATAGGAACGTTTCCATCATTTACTAAAAATAACTATTTTCCGCTAAATAACTTACAACACGTTTCTTGAAGAATTTTACATATTTTCAGCCTTTAAGAACATGAAAATACCAGTTTTAAGACTGAACCTTTGCTAACTCATGTTTGATATAACAAAAGCTTTGAGTTTTTTAAAAGACGTGCAGTATTTCTATACAAGTCAGTCTCAAAATAAAATATAATTGACTTAGAGACAATAACATCATGCAACGATCAGTAAACTGATAGTTTATTAACCATCTTCATACAGACAGCTGCTTGTTAGCTGTTGAAAAAATGACAACGGTTCGTACATTCTCGAGGTTTATTCGTTATTTTTATGTGAGTTTTAAATCTTGAAGCGTATCTCCATAAAACGATTTTTAAAGCGTCTCTTTGTCTAGGCGTGCATCATAATTGGAATTGAACTTGTGATCCTGTTTTTCGCACATGCTGAGGTGAATGGAAGTGCACAATCAAAGAGAATTAAGAGCAGCAACTTTAATATGAAAATGCTATTACTACATGATCGAAAGCGAGAAAACGTGTTCTTAACAAAAACACATGTACACATACAAATCTTAAATTGACTTTATCGTCTGTGGGTGAAGCAAACATTTCTACTCATATCTCATTTTTTTCTAGTTTTGAGAGAGTTGCCCTGTGCCTGCCGAGAGTAATAGTTAGACACTAGCTTTTTCCAGGTTCACTTTTAAATTGAATATTTGGATTTCTTCTATAACCTCTTTTTGGAAATAAAGAGAAGAATTTTCGAAAAGACAAATTTATTTATCAACACAAGTTTCACACTTGGTTATAGCTCTGCTATGTGATTTCCAGGTTATTCAGTCTTCCACCGATATAAAAAGCATAACTCATAACTTTAGGTAGAAGTTGTATCAGTTCCCTTCCTGTGTGGCCTTTAAGCAGGAAATAACACACTACTGCAATTAGTTCAAATTACTCTGGGTGACGCGATACTAAAAGTTGATCTGTTAAACTGACGGTGAATTGTATGGATTGACTTCGTTTAAGAAAGGAGATTAGAATTGATTTGGAATTCATTACGGACGGAAACACAAAGAGTAAATTAGATAAGTCCAGCTGCGTCATCTAAGTAGTTCCAAGCATGGTTTGGAAATACCATGACAAGAACTTAAAGCTTTTTATCAACGAACACTGTCTTCTGACAATGCTAAGCAAATGTGACAAACTCGTATTACTAAGGACACTTTTTACAAAAGGAAAGAATGTGATATTTTTACAATTTTTTTCGACAAAAATATCTTGCAATACCAGAATATTTTGAATTCAAAAATTTTCTCTGAATTACTTCGCCACCTACACTCTAATTATGCCACAGGAAAGAGTAGACAAATTGGACAGGTTTGATAATTTCCAGTTTCTATTCTTACTATTTGCTAAAGAAGTTTTCTAAGACTTTTCCCGTAGGAAAGATCTTTATGCATAAAATCCCAGAAGATCAAATTCAGTTCCACTCCCATATGAAAGCTCCCTCTTTTCTCTTCAAAATCAAACACTCACCGTTGTTTTCAGGCCCGATTTGGAGTATGTTTATTGCGTTCTTTTGAACCAGTTCGAATTTTTAAGCAATTATAAGTAATTCACTTTAAATAAACATCAAACAATAGCGGCTGACTTTTAAGTGCTGAAAACCAATGATATCTACTCCTTTTAGACTAACTTTTGTATGTCATAATTTTGAAAATATAGTGATTGCTAATGAAGTATTCTAAACGTTTGTCCGCTGGATAAGAAAAGTTTTGGTGGTTGTTAATTTCATCTCTCATATTTATATGGGTCAGGCGGACTGATCCCATAACATCCATAGCACAAGTGGAATCTCACTTAAATTACTCGCCAAGTGAAAAAATCAAGAAAAACACATGCTCTAATTTCTTGTTTCTCGCTCTAGTACCCATTTCTTCACAGGGATTTAAGAAAGTCAGCACGTTTTCCGAGGGTCTTTTACTTAACAAAGATTATACTTTGTATTCTGGTTGCTTTTCGGTCTTAAAATAAAATCGTATTACCTGAAAATATTTTACTGGATATGATATTTCTTTTTCATTTTGCGACGAATTATTATAACGATATTGCCAAAAGAATTGCTGAGCTCTGCCAAATGTATAGTCAGATCGTTTTGGTGGTGTAAATTGTGTTGTTTCAGGTTTAACTATCCACTCAACATTTGCATCATTTAAATAACCACCAGCAAATAATTTTCCTTGACAAGTAGCTATAACATATTCATCAATTGTTGAATGGCAATAATGTGGTGTTGTTGGTCGATGCATTGATGAAACTTCATATTCTGGTTTTCGAAATTCTTGAACTTTGAAATGCATTGTACTAGTGGCTAAATCTGGTAAACTGAAATGTATGGCGCCCTCACCTAATAAAAATATTTATACATGATCGATCAGTTTTATACAACATTTTCGAACTCGATGCAATCCCAACAGCAGCAGTCTTCCAAAAAAGTACTTCTTTGACTTTAGAAGGCACACCGACTTTTCCGCGAACTTTTTTTGCAAATTCACCCGTCCGCTAATGTAATATAAACCCCTTCCCGTAATAGAAGCCTCCGAGGCTTCTACTGTCCAAAAGCCCAAAATTTTTAGAGGGGGAGGGGGTCTTGTATTATGTGGGGGGCTGCTATTATGACTTTCGTACAAAAATTTCCAGAAAAAAGTAGATTTTGAATTTCGATGCTCTTGCCTTTCTAATCACGGTAATCTCAATTAATTCGAAAAATATCTTTTCGAAATTAAAAATGTAAATTTTATTTGTTTCTTTCGATTAGAACTAAATGAGCGTATTTCCTTTATAAACAAAAGAAACACATAGTTCAGTTTCATTAACGACATGCCGTTAAGTCCATCATCTTCATTCTCTTTCTTGCGATACGTATTACGAAAATATAAACGGATTGCGGCATGTTCTTTAACTGGAAAAAAGAAACAGACTGCTCTATAATATGTTCTTTTCTTTTCCAATGGGGAAAAAAGTGTGAGATTGAATTCACTCTAACCAAGAGCGTTTTCAATGGAATTTTTGTTTGAAAAACCGGTGTCAAATGTGGTACTCGACACCGTTTTGTCTGCTAATTTCAAATATGTTATTAATTTTGCTTGGAAATATACGAGAACTGAAAAAGGCGCAAAATATGTAAGATGTAATTTGTGTTACAAAGGAAGCCTAGGGATGAAAGCACAGCACTGAATATGAGAATAAAGTTTACCTAAGTTAGCATTATCAGGCAATTTAAATTTTATGTCAAATGCACCATAATTATTCAATCTCACTTTTGATTTTTCAAGTTCTTGACCAAGAGGATCATTAATTGTATAATCAATTGTACCTTGTGCATAATGTGGTGATTTTGCTTCACTTTCTACTTTCAATAATCTAACATAACCTTTTATATGTACCTCTTCATTTGGTTTATATAAATCTCGATCATTAAATACGTGCCATACATAAGCATTAAGATCTGATTTATTACTATAAATATCTACTACCATACATGTATCCTCATCTTTTTCTACAACTAATATTCCTCCTTCATTGTCCTGTGTGTTGAACTTTCGAATTGTGCATAACCCTTGTTGATTTGTTTCTTGTTTTTTATCAAATGCTGAAACAGTTGCTTGATTAACAGGCGTACCAGTCATTAATTCAGTAACCCATACAGTTAAGATTAAGTCCGTACCTTTAGTACAAAGAAATTTGTGATAAATGCAATTTTGTTCAAAGAATAAAACAATAATATTTGGACTACATACACTTCTATTGCATCATTAAGAAAAAACTCAAAGAAATGATAAAATCTTTAAAGTAATCGAGATGAAGAGAATCAACAGGACTCAAAGCCGCTTAATGAATATAGAAAATATGGTGAAATCAAACGCTTATCTCACGTAGAGTTTAGTGTATCTGTGTGTTGCATACTAAGGAAAATTATTTACTATCGCTGAATTTTCGTGAAGACTTTTTAATCGCCATCTTATACGGACACTTCTGAAACAATAAAACTTGTAAGATCTGCTTATAGTCAATATTTCGTATTAAAAAAGACTTGATAGGTTTGCCAGGTGTGAAAGAGGGATTTTCAGTATCGGTACCATTCCATACTTTGGTCACAAATGAGTATGGTGACGAAAATTATGTGAAATATTCAAGAACAGAATTTCACTTGTTTTTCAAAATTAGGCCATTTTGAAGGATTTTAAAAATATTATTTTGTTAAAATTTTTGTCCCTAGAAAAGCTTTTTCAAACACTAAAAGGCACATATTCTTACTTAGTTAGACGGACTCTCTCTAATTCCGTATAAATGTTGCAAAAATAAATCGCGCTTAAACTTTGAATTTCCCGCATCTTGCATCGACACTTACAGCTTTAGTTAGAAAAAGAAACAGTGCTTCGTTTTATTGCTTTCAGTTTAGGACGAAAGCATTTTCTGACTTATCTTTCTCTAAAGCCCCATATCTTTCCTCCGACCAAAAAGTTTCCAGGTGATCGTCTATCTCGTTACTATCCCGGATGAAATCGTATCTCTCTGTACGAGCAAACTCGACACAAATGCTCTTTTCATCCGATTGCTCGAGCTTCGCAAAAAATAATCTCTTTTTGTTTAGCTGTGTAAACATGTGTATAGTACATGTTCGACAACTCAGTAAGGTCTTAGAATTGTTTATATCACCAGTCTATAATCATTAAGGGTGCCTCCCCTCTCTTTTTTGCAAAAACTCTCATTTTGGCTGAACACAGCCCAATGTAGAAGAAAGTCTGGGCTATAAAATGAGATCACTCCCAACTCTCCATGATCTTCCTTGAAAAAGTTATAAAGTTTTTAATGTTTTCCTTCAAAACCTAAAAAATCTCAGTTTTTTAGTTTCGTAAATTTTTCTCTCCTTTCCTATTTTTCTGATTGATGGACTGATAGAAGAAAGTCTGCTATTCAAAATGGGATGCCTTTGCAAAATTTTCCGATGAGCTTTCGTGGAGATATAAGCATCACCGCAAAGGTCCTGAAAAACAGAGCCCTATGTACAATATGTGTTATTCTAATAGTCCCTTCAATCCAGTCACACTACGAACCCCTCGAAACAATGGTCTGATCGAGCTTAAATTTTTACCATGGATACGTCAGACCCTATCTCAGGAGAAAAATCTTTTTTTTAACGTTTTTGATTTCAAGTTTCGGTATGAGCGCTTTTTAAAATCAAAAATCGGTTTTCTATACAAGAGTTTTAGTATTTTACTAATATCTCGAGAAGAAAAGCATATTTTTCGAAAAGAAAAATTTGTATCCTAAGATAAGGTCTAAAGTATCTATGGTAAAAATTTGAGCTCGATCGGACCATTTTTTCGCGGGGTCGTAATGGGACCCTTAAACATCTTTAAGAAAACAGAAATTACTGATTCCAGAGATTCCTAAAAGATGGTCCTAAGTATATTGGAATGAATGACATATTCACGATCATTTTGCAGCCATTAGAGAATTTCTTAGCTTCTTGAGTTGAGCGTTAGATCAGGCTGCTGCAGTATTTCGGTTACAAATATAATCTTATTGAATGTACGATTATTAGGTAAATCTGTTCTAACATCGCCGGTCTCTGTGACACGACTCTTCTGCGAATTAACTTTTGGGATCAGGGTGCAGTTTGAGAATGAGTTCGGAAAACGTTTCATTCACGGAAGCGACAGTGAATCACCAGTCTCATTATAACGTTTCTGTTTACATAATCTATTAGAAATGTTTTTAATCATCAGAATGATACATGCACCTATCTATAAAAAATTCCAGGATGTTTCAACCAGAAACTAACTAATTTCTTTTCTGTTGCGTTAAGTATTTTGGGTAGAATAAGAAAGTGATTTACTACTATATTTTATTATTTATTTAGTAAAAAACTTTCTCGAGTATTTTCTAGCATGGCTGAAAATCTTCCAATCTTAAATCTCACTTGTTGGGTGCGATTGAATTCAATAGTATCAATTGCAAACAAATTATCTTAATCTAATTTTCTAATATAGTTACCTGGAGAAAGAAATACATCGACTGCTAATCGCGTACATTGCAACCAAGCTGATATAATTTGTCTATATCGCCAATCTCCACGTTGACATTCATCCCACGATTTTTTTGTTGGTTGAATTAATATAATTAATTGACCACTGTTGGATTTTTTATTTAAATATGCTTTTAATGAGACTTTTATTTCTTTGGGTTCATAGCGTTTACAGTTTGTTTGAATAATTTCATTGAATAACTCTTCTCCAGGTAATTTATTACCCCATTCTTGATTTTCATATACGAAATACTGTAAATTAAAACATGGCAAAAATTGTTGATAATGTTCTGGTTTTACTCGATTTATTTGAATTATCAATTCTGAATAATTATAAACCATAAATGGATAAAATGGATCATCTAATACACCTGGATCCATTACAATCATACCTAAAATATAGCCTTCTTTTATTAGTATGAATATTTCATAATCTGTTATTGTGTATTTTATTATATAAGAAATTCACGTTTTTAAACTTTTCTTTTTCAAAATTTTGTTTTAGTATAAATTGTTGCGCTATACCTGTTGCGCCTGATATATGTCCAATTAATGGTGGTGAATCATGTACATGAAATTGAATTGAATCATCTGAATTATTACGTTCTAATTTTTGACTATAAATATCTTTCAATACTTCTGATTGTACAAACAGTGTATAAACAGTATTTGGTTGAGAATTATTATGTATTATTATTTGTCGGTCATTATCTTTCGTATGTTCAATACCTAAAACGACATTTTCTTTTAAGTTGTATATTCTTGTACTGACAAAAGGCACAGACTTCCGACATTGGTCAAAAAAATATTGTCACCGATCTATTGTGGGACTATTAAACAGGTTATTCTGGTCATGGGCCAGTTATTGACTATAAATGGATCGTCTTTTGACGGTTATAAGAGCTAGTGACTGCGTTTTCTGGGTGTAAAACTTACCCTCCTTTATCTGTTTCATTTATTCTATCTCATTTCTTGGCAATCATAGTTTTATCGTCAATACAAAGATAAACGAACACTTATCGTTTGAACAACTTTTGGCCGTACTTACTTAAACCATTGACTTCTGGCTCAAATTTAAATAATGATTTATTAATTGTTGAATGATCTAATGAATTATTGAATGTTAATGACCAACTATTACCAGGATTAACAGTCAGTGTATTCGTCATATTTGGATACCAGTCAGTTACTCTTAATGATTCATAAGTATGAAAACTAGCTGACCATCCTGATGATGTCTTTAGTGGACCTTCAGCTGATGGACAGCCACTAGGCATTTGGATAGTATATTGTGTTGCTTTTAATAAATCATGTTTAAATGTAAATGCAACATATTTTTCATGATTTCCTTCATTATCATTTATAGACGATTCAAATTCACTTTTTGCTGTTTTTTCGTCTAGTAGTTCTAATTCTTCATTTTGTTTTGATGTCCATTATCGTACATCACACATAAATGTTCCAAAATTTCATGTATATGAATTTTTTGATCAAATAATAGAAAGCATTTAGGTTTTAAGGTTGAAACTGTTCCATTTGGTAAAAACTCAATAACTTTAGGCGTTGTTGTTGCAAACTCAAAGAAAAAACCTTCATCTAATTTACCTAAAAAGAATAAAAACATCAAAATGATGTTTATTTAGAAATAAACCCCGAGGTTAAACGAATCACTTTATAGAAAACTCTCACCCTTAATTAGATATGAAAATATTTTGCTTTTGTTGAGCCTCAGTTGTACACCAGGAATTAAAGATAGTCGTACAAATACTCGCAAGAGTCATTAAGTTTTGCGAAAAACGCAAATCATATTTTTTGATTTATTTTACTAGTATAACATTTGCCGTTGACATGAAACATAGACATACTATGTATGATTCATTTTTTTTGAGGACAAAGCCAGTATAAAAAGCTTGTCAACGTTGCTACTTTGGAGCAAAAAATGTGAAAACTTCACTAAACTTTGTCCGCAAGTGTGTCTAATGCTCATTGAACAGAACAAATCAAAAATAGAACAGCTTTCGGGATGTTAGACTCGTTTTTAACCTTTTTTTTCAGTAGTTGTAAACACGGAGAAAAGCGGAAGATTGATCATTAAAAATGTACTCAAAATGTTTACACCTACCGAAATGGGTATTTACAACCACTGAAAACAGAGTTTATACACTATTGTTTACAACTACTGAATAAGAGTCTTTTAAAACTAAAAAATCGTTACAACATAAAAATAAACTTCGAACTTTTATATCCATCGGAAAGTGGACATGTCCTTGGAAGCTTCCACAAAAGAAAAGATTAAAGATGTTTGTGACGATACGGGTTTTTATCATTATACTGCATACATACATACTAAGCCCTGCGTATGAATAAAAAAAGACAATTTTGTTGAATTTGTGTAATTTAATTTAATTAATTATTTGTATACACTGATGACGATTGAACAAGTCAATCGATACGTTTGAAAATTATAATAATAAATAAAGTTTATTACGAAGGAAAAGTATTTAACTATAATTATAAAAGATATTATATATGAGTCGAAAGTACTCGTTGAGGTGGATTGTCACGTAAATATCAGAAGGCTTATCAAGAAGTCTGGCACCTGATCCTAACGGATGAGTTAAATAAATTAACGTGCTAAAATATGCTTATGCTTATTATGTTGTGCTTCAGATGTTTTTTAGTCCGATGTACCAAAAGAAGAAGAATTTCTTTCTTTTTCGAAAGAGAAAATTTCTAAAACTTATCGTATTTTTATTCTTTCTTTTTCGTAGCTATAGACATATATGCAAATATCACGCTATTGCTATTGTCAATAATAATTTATTTCCTTGAAACTGAAAATAAACGTTTTCGAAATGTCGAAATAAATCTTTTGCTTATTAGATAAAAATAAAAATTCATATGTCATTTCGACTAAAACAAAATGCGTTTGTGTGCTACAGTCTTTGCATATTTCTGTTTCATTCGTCCTTTTAATTCGTTTTTTTATTTAAGATTAAAATGTAACATTATATGGGTATTTTCCCATGGACATGTCCATGGTTTCGCTTTCTTGGTTTTGTGTATTCTACCTCTTCTCTTACCGACCTATAGGTACTAACTTGATACGCTTACGAAAACAGCTCTCAGTACACAGTCTTAATATTTCATGCATTCTATTCAACTTTCACATATCTGTGTGAAAAACGAAGACCGAGTGATAAATAGATCGTCTTCAGAGAAAATTATTAGCTACTGAATGCGTTCGATTGCTTTTAAAGTTTTAGAGATATTTACCTCCTATTGCCGATACACAATGTTCTTTGTTGACTTTTAATGCGTACTTTGTTGAATATGGTAAACGATGTTTCGCCTCAAATTGACATGTTTTTGTTCCTATCCATCTCCATTGACCTTCTACTTTTGGTGTTAACGCAATATCTAAATCTTCTATATTCATTACTTCATTCAATGACGAAACAGCAATCATTGGTTGGTTAAATGTTATTGTTATTGTTGATAATACATAATTAATTTCTTGTTCATTAGGAGAATATCGTTCTATACTCAACGGACCTGCTACTTGTTTCAATTGTTCAATATCAATATCTAATTCTTCTTTACGATCTGGTGGAATAGGTGGAAATGGTGTTTGTATAACTTCACCTGTTTTCGGCACTTCGATTGTTGCTTCACGTTTAAAAAACTTGTGTTCTTCCGAAGTTTCCGTAACCAAATGAGAACTAGCTCGATTGAATAATTGTTGTAATTGTTCTGACGTTAAGTTTTGTTGCTGCAAACTATCATTTGATGGTGGCACTTCGAATTCGGTTGTAGTCTGATTATCAGCCTCATTTGCTTCTTCAATAGTGAATTGAAACTGATGGGAATTAGGCTGTTCATGTTCGGATGTCCGATTATGTGTCGGCCGTATCCTTTTCATGAAATATTCGTAAAAGGAAGAGACAGTAGAAGTGTAATAGAATCTGAAAAGGCAACATAATACATAAAGTAACCAAACATTTTTAAATTAAGTGAATGTTACAATTATACTAAAGCTGGTATTAGGTGTTTCGATTGTTTGTAAAGCAATGGCTACTGCAATACTATAAGTTCTTCCAACTACTATCCATTTCAAAATACAAGACAATCCATTGATTTTTGAATAACTCAAGAATGGAATGACCTTAAGAGCGGCAGTTTTCAGATTATGAAAGAGGACACCCAGGGGCATCAGTCTATGCTAAAACGAATCTTAACTTAAACTAAGTTTATTAAAACAACAAATCGAGCTATGCTCTTTACATGTTGTGACAATTTGATCAAACGAGAAATACAGTTAAATTGACAAAAAGAGAAGAGAAAGTGAAAAAAAAAGCTGATGATATATTAGAGAAAGAACAGCAAACTATTCTAGGACAATCGAGAGTAAGTTCTAAGGACTCTTTTATCATATTGGAATGTTTTCAACGAATTCAAGTATTTGCTGTAACGTTCAGAGCTTTTCTGTGTCAAAGCCCGTTTATACAAGCAAGTGATTGAATAACTTTCTTTAAAACTTTTGAAGTCGAAACGATTCAATAACGTTATGCAACATACATACACACAAATTAAAAGTAAGCCCCACCATTAGTCATGATGCATAAATATGACTTACTTGAATCTTAAAAAATATCGCGCTCATTACCAAGAAGTAACTTTATTTAATATTTTCTATGTGTACTATCCTACTCCACCATATCGATTGATATTTGATGTATTACAAAAACTTTCTATCTAAACAGATAGATTGTTCAAGATCTCTCCATTTGATCTCGTGTTGATAGAATAAAATAGGTTAAAACAGTCAAATATCAAGTAAGCATCGTTTCAGCATCGTACAGTTTTCTTTCTTTCTTGAACTTCTACATACTTCTTATTAAACACTGCGCAAATATGTGACTTCTTTCTGGTTATAAAACGCAAAACACATAATAAACCTGTAAAATAAATGGGGAGCAATTCCAAATAACACGTAAAAGAGAACATGATAAAAACAATTTTCATATTCATCATATTCATCTCACCTGTATTACTTCGTAGTAATAATTTTCATATCAAGTAATACATATGAGATGAAAAATAAAAATTGTTCTTTTTATAGCGCTTTAACTCTTTTATTTGTTCCGCCTAAAGCATTTAATTATGCGTTGTTTAAAGGTCATTAAGAGAGCATGTTTTTCTTCACAACGAAAGAAAAGAGAAAAAGAGAAAAACAGTATGATTCACGAACGCTACCATCCGCACTCACCCACACCCAATCTATCTTTGAATTACATGGTTGGATAGAGGATGCCGAGTTGTCTTCACACCCACCCATATTTTTTCAGTCTTAGCTTTGCTGAATTACGAGGTAGCTGCAAGATATTTGTTAACCATACACCTACCCACACCCAGTCAAAATCTATTCACACACACATACAAACTAACCTCTATTCACATGGTTGGATAGAAGATGATGAGTTGTCTTCACACCTTCCCATATCTCATCCAGAAATTGTTGCTTAAGAAACAATAGGTTTACTTTTTTTGTATTATGGTAGCATATAATTCTAAATTGTCTAGTTTTCTTCAAGTGATAGATTAATGTTAGTGATGATATCGTTCATCTATACACATATTTAGAGTTTCCAAACTCGGTTGATGATGAATTATTGTCAATGTGCTTATCTATTTACCACTAATAAACTATAAATATGAACTTATGAACACTTTAATACCACCATCCATCCCAAACTACAAGGCATTCGGTTGCTTTTGAACGATTGAAGATAGAGATTTGCAACTCTCAGCAATCGAAAGAGGACCATTTAGTCTATATTTCCATAAGCAAAACCGTTCCTCTAAAACATTCTGAAGATCGGTTTTCTACGGAATCTTGGAAACCAGTCCGGATCTTCAGAAACTGCGATAGCAATCTATTCTTTTGTTTTCAAAAATACAACGATTGGAAACATAGGTATCGACTATGCTGAAACTCGTGACAACGTTTGTTTCTCAAAAAAGTTCCAGAAAACTTAGTGAAAACCTATAAAAGCTTGACAAACCAACAGAAAACACTATAGTTTTTGAAAAGGTTTTCTAGAAGCATTCTGAACTACAGGAATGTGTTCTACTATTCTCAAGTAATAACTTCGCTCTACTAGATAAGCACATTGACAATAATTCATCATCAACCGAGTTTGGAAACTCTAAATATGTATATAGATGAACGATATCATCACTATCATTAATCACTTAAAGAAAACTAGATAATTTAGAATTAAATGTTACATCAAGGTGTGATGGTACTAATTTTGGATGCTGTAGATGTTATGGTGGTAAACGGCGGTTTAGACTTTTTAGACCTTTAGACTGTCTTCTAGAATAGGGCAGCCTAGCCGCGGGGGGGGGGGGGGTGTTTGGGGGGGGGCCCCTTCCGCAACGGCCGGGTTGCGCAGTTTT